CGTCACCACCGCGCGACTGGACAGCTGGAGTAGCAGCAGTTCCTTTCTCAAATTTAGCTAATGCCTCCGGTCCACAAAATCGTGTCAATTCTTCCTGTTCGAACAACAAATTTAAAGTTGATTAATTCTTTGATGCATTTAATAGCAGCAGCCAGCCTGAATGAAAAGAAGATTTGACCTTGATGGAACTATTTTCTGATGTTAGCTTTTCACATTCCTCGGAGAGTCTCTGCAGCTCATCCCTGAGAGTACGGTTCTCGTTGTTCAGTGTCTGCACTCTGGCCTGTAATTCTTCACACTCCGCCTGTCGTCGATAATAGGCAACATTACAAACAGCTGAACTAATACCAGATTTTCTAGTAACAGCCGAACTAATACCACCTTACAAACCCTAAACCCTAAACCCTAAACCCTAAACTAATACCAGATTTTCTAGTAATTTATACTCCCAACTCCTCCAATTATCAATTGGACCCATCTTTCCCAGGACATCACACCATTCTTAAATTGTAGAACTAGTCATTTTCCCCTCAAGAATAAAACAAGTCAAAACTACATTACTTTGGGCATTAATGAAAATATGAAATTTCCTGAACCAAAGTTGGCAGTGAGTGTGCATACCTGCTTACGTAATCTTGACCTCCTAGCAGACTCTCGGTTAGATTGCTTCCTTTTCTGTCGTTTTAGCTCTCGTTCATCCTACCAATCGAGAGCACCAAACAAGAAGAATTGCAATGAAAATACTGGTCAATTACGTGTCTGAAATAAGAAATGAACTGCAACAGGTGTAGGTCTATTTACATGTTAAGACAAAATTCAACATGATAAACAATCTATTCCCCCCTAAGTTTTAAGAACTTCAAGAATATCAATCTATGGACAGAAATTGGGAGAATATTTCAAATAAAGGGTGTAGCTCATACTTGAGCCCATTGTTCAGGCATCACACCATCACGACCAATCATCGTTCCTGGAACAATAGCTGAGGAGACCGCATTTGCTCTTGCTTTTGCAGCCCCTGAAGCAGCAGTGGTGGTATTCCACAAATCCATTCCCATGTTCAGATTAGTTGCAGGAATGGAAGTGATGGGTTTCCCAGTCACTGAAGATTTGGAATTTGGTCCACCCGTGTTACTTTGTGCATTGGCTCCTAAAATAGCAGTTCAATAGTAACATTAATAGCAAAAGCATATATGAGCAGTATAACAAAATTAAAGTGAGAAAAAAAGAAATCGTACCATCAGCCAGCATCTGGTTGAAGCTGCCCTTCTTATTCGCAGCAAATTCCTGAAAAAGAAATGGAAATATTCTCACTAGTACAGGGCTATCGTAGTAGTTGAACCAGTTCAGATGATTGAAAGATCAAGAAGAAAAAGTCACATACCTGCTGGTTAGCATTCTCATCACTGCCTTCTGATGAGCCCTCAGTACCACTTTCACTACAAAAACCAGAAATTCTTAATCAGATGAGGTTGATTTAAAAAGGAATACAACTTGTACGAAGCCTCAAGTCAAAACACCTTTGAGATGCACCATCATTTCCAGAACTTGAAGCCACCTTTCCTCTCTCCCCGGTCCTACCGCCACCTGAACCAGTATTTCCCGACGTACCCTTGGATTTCTTGGATGCCCTTTCTTTTCCATCAGGAGATTTTCCTTCATATTCCGCATTAATTGGGGCAGAGCCAGGAGGCTACAAATGAAAAGCAAGTATATCAAGAACCAACTTAAAATTCTTATATCTTATTCTAGTGATTTATGTGGGTATATAGCAACGAATGATCAGGCAAAGAACGTATAATATTGAGATAACGCCATAAAGAAAAAGGTTTCACTGATTAGATTACCACAGTGATATTGGGATGTGCATAAACTCCCCCAGGAGGATACATAGCTGGATAAGGTACTGGAGTTCCATAAGGTGGCATCAAAGGATGCTGAAAAATGTTAACACACAATTAAGAAAACAGGAACATTATTGTCCCCTGCAGAAAAGATCAACCTCCATACTACTCGGAGGGACAATAGTCCATTAGAATTACCTGACTTCCCCAAAGGTAAGGGTGGGGAGTTGGAGAAGCAACAGTAGATGCAAAGAAAGGAGGAGGAGTAGCCCCAGCACCATAGTAAGCCTACAAAAGAGGCTAAACTTTGAGACAGCAGTATTTATCGAGATCATCAAAACTATTCTAGGTGTTTAATGAATTCAAATGGCAATTAGTATAAAATCAGAAGCTCATTAACCTGCATTGAGCTTGACCAATCAGGATATGAAGGCGTCGGGGGTATTTCCTGTGCACAACAATCAAAACAACTCAAGATATGGACAATATGAGAATGAAAACTGGGAAACTTAAGGAAGGTTCTATAACCTGAGATGAAGAGGGAGGTCTGGAAGTTTTAGAAGGCGTGCCCTCTTCTCCTGTCCCCATCAACCAAAGCTAAAACCACTACAATTCAGCAACTTCCGAGTGATAATCCTAAGTCCTTGATGGTTTCTACGACCAACCTGATAATCAGTTATCAACTATAATGAAATGGTCTTGGGAAGAAGAGAATGAGACACATAAATATACTCATAATATTTAGAGAAAGCATTGCTAATTTAGGAAAAGCAACATAATTTCATTCAATAAGCAGGTCCCATAATAATAAATTCATAGCTGGACTGGTACCATACCAATCTACAGAGTTAATCAGATGCAATCGGATGGATATCATTCAACACTGCGAAAGTAAAAACAGACCCCATATCTATTTAAGTTGCAGTAAATCGGATCACAATACTAGACACCAGATTTCCAAATAAGGATCTTCCTGGAATTAGTGAACATTCCAATAGTTCACTCACCCCTTAGACGCCTTATCATGAATAACTTTCTCCAATCACAGAAATTAATGATTAAACGTCCAATTTGCTTTCATGGATTCACTCTTCCACATCCCTAATCATAGGTTCCAACATAGACGCCGGAAAATCATGCGATCGAGCATGTTTCTCTATCAGTATGTTACATCCCAAATGGGAAATCTAACATATAATACCTACACCTACCTATAAGAACACAGCTTCCAATCCATTCCAATCCCAAAACATATGGGCAAAAATAATTCGAGCAAAACGATTTTTTCCTCTAGAAAACAATTAGTCACAAAATTGCGGCTGAGGACTCCATTAATCGTCGAATTAAACATACTGGGAGGAAATTGAAGTCATCAAGTAAAGAAGGATTAGTGAAACGAAAAGAAAAATAGTTTGAGAAACTGAAGTAAAAGAAGTAATCCGAAGAAGTTGAATTGAGTCCGGGAACCACAAGACGGCGAAGATAATCTCACATCCCAAGAATCAAGATTATAAAACGTCCTTAAAAAACAAAACTAAAATTAGGACCAAATACGACCAAATATTCCAATACACTACGTGTCTCTGCAGGAAGAAACTAAAACTTAAGAGAGAGAGAGAGAAACCTGATTTCATGGCGAGATGAAACTTTGAGAGAACTGATGTCGAAGTCCAGGTGGAAGGCGTGTCTGTATGTAGGTTGTTGACTGAGAGATCAACGGCTGAGAATTGTGGATTCTGGACCTCTCGAAATCCAAATCCAATCTCTGCGGCTCAGAAAAGAGACGGTGTAAACTCCCGCAGCGCGAAAACCTAGTTACCGCGTGGATGAGGGCGAGTGTGTCGGAACCCGCCCGGCGGCGGAGACGGGCGGAATGAAGATGAAGTCACGGCGGAGGAAGAGAATGGCGCCACCACTGGAACCGCCTCTGCCGACGAAGAAGGCTGCGCGTGGAAAACGGAGAGATGGGGATCCGGTGTGACGGTGTCCTTATAGGATAACCTGGGTTAAGTTTAAACGACGGGTTCGGGTTAGGGTTTTGCCAATTGACACGTGCGAGAAAGATCCTTCCAGCTGTCCACGTTTTAGTGGATCAAATTCGTGACAAAGCCAAATTTCGGTGACTCATCGTCACACCTAATGGATAACCTTAATTATTGTACCCTCTGTCCTTTTTTCCTTTCATCCTATACTAATCTTCTAAATTTTAATTTATTTTATAACCATTTCTTTTATCGTTTATTTAAAAAGGATAATTAAATCAATTTATTAGCTGAATTTTCACCAGCAGCCATCAAATCTGACTAGTGCAATGTTCAAGATAAATATTAAAAAAAAATACCATAATAATATATTTTTATTTATTTATTTATTTATTAAAGATCATTAATTTCATTGGTTCAATGTGAAACAAAAACTTTAGCGAATAACCACATTTTATAAGTGAATTTATACATAAACGTGGAAGAAGTATGTGGACAACATTTTTTTCTTTTTTTTCTTTTTTAATATTGAGATTCCTAAATTTTAAATTTAAAAAATGGTCTGAAGGCGTGGCAAAAGGCTATTTTATGCGTGGCAAGATTTTAAATTAGTTTTTTTATTTGTCTTAAAAGGCAATATATTATATATATATATTACATAAAACGAAAATTTTGAAACAATAAATTTATAGAAAGTATATAAATGTGTACTCATATAACTTTTTGTAATATAAGATTATGTCATTAGAATATTAGGCAGATCACAATAGATATTAAAAAAATGTCAACTCTCACATTTAATATTTCAATAATAGAAATAATAATTCATTATTTAATTGGTAAGTGTAGTGTCAATTATTACGTAAACGACCTAATTTCTTAAAATTTAGTAGTTTAGTGTTTTTCAGTGATGGAAATGATAATCTATTTAAAAGTGGGCTTGCACAATCTTAAAACATCTCTACATTAAGAATACGTTAAGAATAGATTGTCTAACTTGCATAGTGTCTTGTAATCTCTTTTCGATTGGTTTTCGTAAAGAGTATGAGTATCTTCTTGATTGTTCTTAACAAAGAGCGTGAGTATTTTCCACATAAAATTATATTCAACTAGCATATGTTCGAGCCTCCTCTTAGGCAGGCAGCAAAACAAGCATAAGCACAGACCCAGAAGGTGTTGATGATCAAAAGCTGCTATATCTTTCTCAATGTTCTTTGCCTATCCTGTAAAGTGACTTACAAAACTGGATCTAACCGACCATTTACATTTATTTGGCAAAACACGAGGACACAAAACCTGTCGGTTTAATCAGACGTGCACAAGTCGTGGCAACACTAGAGGCAAAATGATGAGTTTCCATGTCTTCTAGCCTTATTATGCTCTCTCTCTCTCTCAGAACACGATGTGTCTGATGCACCTTCGACGTCCTCCTCTGTGTCCGCCATGACAGGAACTGAAGATTCTTGTAAGCAAAAAGTTTGGAGAATATTCCTTAGAGAATCTATCACTTTTGTAAATTCTGGACGGATTTTTGGATCCTCAGCCCAGCATGACTGCAAGAGACGGGCGATATCTTCTGGGATTCCTTCAAGACTTGGTCTTATGTTCTGAATGAAGAAATGGTAAATCAGTGTCATTGCAGAAACTACCCCATTTCAATTTATAACAACAACACAGCAGAAATTAGCAGACAATGATGAATTGGCTGATTCTTAGGTGTACCGTTTTCTTATAACTTCTCTTGGATTTTGCTGGCCCAAGCTCACTCCTCCCTTCCGGGCTTTCCCTCAAAGTTTTTAAAACGCATCTTCTTTATAACGGTCTCACATTGGTCGGAAACTTTTTTCTAGCAGACGTTTTAAAAGCCTCGAAGGAAAGCCTAAAAAGGAAATTCTAAAAAAGACAATATCTGCTAGTGGCGCTAACGGTGGGCTTGAACTATTACAAAAGATATTCTTAACAAATATCTAGGAGTTTCGTATTTTGTGTTCTTAATATTTCCAGAATATTCTTGTCTAGAACTTCTAGTTGAGCCTTAAATGCAGATGAATTGTAGAACTCAACACACCTTAGCTGCGGCATATGCCACCATTATATTGTTTCTGCCCTTGAATGGAGTTTTGTTTGTCATCAACTCCCAAAGAATTATCGAGAAGCTGTAGACATCTGCCTTGTGATCATAAAATTTCCTACCTCCAACAGGCAATGGATCAATGCTAAACAGCTGATATCAAATGAAAATAGAACATTTATAAAACAAAGCACTAAAGAGACGAACTTCGTCAAACACTATAGAAAGAATAGGTTACCTCAGGGGCCATCCATCGGTAAGTACCCGCCTCAGTAGTCATTTCACCAGATATTTCCTCTCTAGCCAACCCAAAGTCTGCTAGTTTAATCCGTTGCTTGTCTTCTGTTAGCAATAGATTGCCTGAGTAAACGTGAAGACTGTTACTAAGCCAACGACTTGAGATCTTTGGAAATGTCTTATATCAAGTACGTAAGTATTGATATAATCAAATTTATCTTAATCCATCGTAGCTTAAGTTTTCGGGTTGATTGATAATTTAACACAAACTTTAAAAATTTTTGTTCTCTCCTAGATTTGGAATGTAACAGCCCAAACCCACCGCTAGCAAATATTGTCCACTTTGGCCCATTACGTCTCGCAATCAGCCTCAACAATTTTAAAACTCATCTATTAGGGAGAAGTTTTCACACCCTTTTAAAGGATGATTCATTCTTTTCTCCAACTAATGTGAGATTTCACGTGGAATGAGCAAGTTGCTCGAAAATGGTAGAGATGGGCACAGTGAATATAATTAAAGGATAGTGCCCCACCCGGTTATCCAATAAAGAAATAAATAAATAAAAAGACTTTTGGGGACCATGAACAGAAAGGTGATAGTGTAAAGTAGATGAGAAACAGCACAGTACTTGGCTTTAAGTCGCGATGAACGACTCCATTTGAATGTAAGTATGCCATTACTCGTGATAGATCTAGAGCCAAACTTAAGGAAAGCTTCAGTTCTGGGGTCTCCGGCCGTATGCTCCACAAGTACTTTTGGAGTGATCCACCTCTCATTAGCTCAGTGATTATCATCAACGTCGGCGCTATGGCAGCGCCAATGAACTGTTTTAAGTAGAAAAGGGTATCAGCAACCACACTTGAGGCATGGATGAACATGTATGGTTTATCATGCTAGCCTACTATGGTAATCAGAGCAAGCCAAGAACTACAACTTCTATATGAAAATTCCAGCTGATAAAGCCAAAAAGGGGTACTAAAAAGCTTCATGTATCGTTCTCTAGCATTCTTAAGGGAGTTTTAATCAGCTTTAACAGTGACAAAATTCGACAAAATTCTCAGATAGAATGAACTGTACAAAATTAGCTTTATAATATCTTAAAAAGTTAACTACATATCATATCATATCATATCAACATCCTTCTAAATTTAAATACAAAATCACTGAATAGACTCAACCCCTCGTCTCCATTTTTGTAAGTTTTCCTTCGTTTTCTTTCAAACACATGACATTTGGGTAGGTGTTATTCAGAGACCGCAAGCCGGCCTCGCTGATTCAGTACTCAAGTTTTCCCTACTTAATGTTAACTCTAATCTATAGAAAAAAAAATCTTACGTTTTTAAGCAAGAACGCAGCTCAACAAGAAGAAGCACGAATCTTGTACTGTTTAAAGTAATGGAAGGAATGAGATTAACAAGAAAGAGCCGGTGAAGTAATGGAAGGAATGAGATTAACAAGAAAGTAGATTAAGCCCCAAAGGGAGGAGAACACGAGGCGGTTTGCCAACAAAGACGCTAGACCCCGAAGGGAGTGGACATGAGGTAGTGTGCCAACAAAGACGCTGGACTCCGAAGGGAATGGATTGGGAGGTCCCACATTAATTGGAGAAGGAAACGATTATGAGCGATGGCCTCGAACAGAGTGGATTGTAAGATCCCACATCAGTTGAGAATAACAAAATATTCTTTATAAAGGTATGAGAAACCTCTCCCTAGTAGAGGCGTTTTAAAAACCTTGAGAAAATGTCGAAAAACTTAAAGAGGACAATATCTCGTAGGGGTGGGTTGGGTCGGGTTGTAGAAATAAATTCTTATACTCACTAACGTTTTCACTCTCTTGCCTTCCCCCAAACAGCAATACATATATGATATTCAATTTACATAAAGATTATAATACAGAGTTGAATTACAAGACGAGTGAGTTCTATGAGTTAAAGCAAAACAATTACCTGAATAACGTTCTCGTGATTCACTATTGCTAGCAACGCAACCTCTCTCAGGAATCTTTCTTTGTTTCTAGTACTTATAGCCGATGTCCTACTCGGCTGTATAATCTTCACGGCAACAGGTTGATAATCGTACCTACACAAAGTATTAACTAATGAATTCATCTACAATTTGACCCAATAATTCAAAACAATCGAAGATCACCCCACGCATAAATTACACCAAAATCAAAGCAAAGCACAGTTGTAACAAAGACGCTAAATCGAGAGTAAAATCATGCCACAATTTGAGAGAAGAAGAAACCTACAGTCCTTCATACACAATGGAGTAAGAACCTTCGCCAATAACTTCACCAATCTTTAAACAACGAAGGTCAATGAGCAAACTAGGTTCGATCTTGAGGGCGCACTCGGAACCCAAATCTTCAGAATCATCGTCCCCAATGAACCAACTGAAAGCAGTACCGATTGTCTTGAATGAGTGTTCTTCGTGTTCCTCCGCCATTGTTGGACCCGCTTCTGCTTTCTTAGTCTATTCCATTGCGTAAATAAAGAATGAATCGGAAATGAAAACAAGAAACACGAAAAGAAGAAAAAGATTCAAAACCATAACGACAATAATCAGGCTTCAATCGAATATCATCATTCGTTTCGAAATAAATTTCAAAAATCAAGAGGCAAAACCAAAAGAGAGGGAAAAAAACAAAATCGAAACCCACAAATCTGCGACGTATATTCTTCTGAACCAATAAAATTTGGAATTAATCAATGTATAAATTCCACTTCCATTTATATTTGTTTGCTTTGATTCCTCTGCGGCGGCGCTGCATCAGTTGGGTCGTTGTGATGCTGCCACGTGTACATTGATTAATGGATTTACGTGTAGGGGAGTGTGGCTCTGGTGATACGGAGATATTGGGCGAAAATTTTGGACGTTTTATCGGAGAATCCGTACGGTATGGCCCACGTAATCCGGAAGTGGACACCCGACATGTCGTTCGCAGTGACTGTAGATATAAAACGTCACAACGTGTAAATAATAAAATATTAGGGAAAATAAATAAATTTATATCTTGGGTTGTCCAACTAATGGGCCAATAACAAAGGCCCATTAACAGTAGACAGCCCAATGCTTAATCTCCTGATTTTGTTTAGAATATTGGGGAGAGATAATAATAATAACACAATTAGTTCTGGAAAATATAGATTACATTAAATGTATCGCTAATGTACAAATTACACACTAATTAGTCAACATAATTAGGTTAATTAATTTACATATAAAGATTAAGCCACTCCATTCCTTGACTGTAATTGCCGTGTTGCTGTTGCATGCAATAGAATACATCTTCATATTCTCCCAAGAACAGCTCTCCCCACGACGGCACCGGCGGTGGCATGGCATCCATCGTCTCCGATGACGTCGGGCTACTGCTCCAAATCTTCTCACTTCCTTCTACCAATCGTTGGATCTCGTTCTTCGCCTCTCTTAATTGCTCGCTCAATTTCGCCATCTAGAAATAACCCATTAACCGGTATACATTAAAATCAAAGAAAACATTTACCACAGAAAATACAAAGCGTTAGATGATGAAAGTCCCACATCGGCTAATTTAAGGAATGTTCATGTGTTTATAATTAAATAATACTATCTCCATTGGTATGAGGCCTCTTGGCAAGAGTCTAAAGTAAAACCGTGAGACTTTGTACTAAAGTGGACAATATCATACCATTGTCGAGAGTCGTATTCGTCTGCTTTACTTTCAAAATCAATTGGGAAAAAAAGAATTTTTACCTCAGATTCAAGGTGGGAATTTTGGAGAAGAATGGAATCATGAGCTTTTTTGAGAGTGGAATATTCCTCTTCGAGCTTCTTGTTCTTCCACCGTGCACGGCGGTTCTGAAACCAGACGGCGACTTGTCGTGGATCAAGTCCCAATTCAGAAGCCAACCGATCTTTCCTCTCCGATTCCAATTTGTGTTCATCCCCAAAATTCATCTCTAAAAGTTTCACTTGCTCTGTACTCAGCTTCCTCTTCTTCAACCCCGCCGCCCCGGCCGCCTCCTTCGCTTTGCTCCTCCGCCGCCTCCGCTTCGTCGGCTTATTTCCCTCCGCCGCACCTGAAAAAAAAAAACATGATTTTTGAAAAAGCTCCAATACCACGAAGAAGAAACTAATAAAGGATGGAGATAAGGACCTTGTTGGGTGAGTATTTGAGTAAAAACTCCAGGGCTGTAGAGATTCGACATCAGTAATGTATTGTCGTCGTCGGCGGCGGCCATTATCACCGGCGGTAGAGTTCTTCAGTAGCTTCTCTCTCTTGATTGCTTTACAAGTGTGGGTGTATGTGAAGTGGGGGAAGAGTGTGCGGGTGGTTTACAGAGGGATTGCAACTTATTTATAGCGGAAAATGATGTCCGAAACATTTATAATATTGAAAAAGTTCGCTGTTTTTTCAGAAGCGCCTCTAAACTTTTGTATATTCACAATTCTGCCCCATCCTTGTGGACTTTCATAATTAATTAATTAATTAATTAAGTGTGGCACATCAATACACGTCATCCACTCTCGTAACGCCTATGTGTTACATTAGGGATGAATTACTTTATATTAAAATAATTAAATAATTGAAATTTATTTCTATCTAAGAATTATATCGAATAATTTTTTTATAAAAATGGTAAAACATTATAATAAATTTAATAATATTTATAAGAAAAAAATATTAAATTAAATATTACTGATTAGATTCCAATCGTAGTGCAGATGGGTGGGGGCTGGGCTTGGCTTTGGCATGGGGATCCCCGCATTACAGACCGACCACATCGAACACAATAAAAACATATTAAATAAATTATAAATCTGATTTTATTTTGGTTGGTTTGTGTTGGCTCGAGGTGAATATAAATTATTAAAATGATTAATTTATATATGGGATGTGGAAATTGCACGCAATTACCCACAATTTTCGTGTGATTATTTGAATTTTTGTTTGGTTGGTATAAAATATTTAGTCTATCATATTTGACCTTTTTTTTAATTTTAGTCCCCACAATATTAAATTTTTTTAATATAATATTTTAAAATTTTAATTTGATAAATTAAAAATAATTAAATTATTTATATAAATTTTAAAACTAAATATATAATTTAAGACGAGTGACCATAGGATGGGATGGAGGGTTAGCTGTCTTTTTTCATGTGTCTAGAGTAGGCAGCTTGGGCTACGATAATATGAACAGACCACCGAAAGGAAAGTTTGTGGCTGCCAAATCACCACCTACACTCTTGGGCCCGATATAGAGTAGATATTATCGTCATCTCTATTTTAATATGATATTGTCTATTTTAAAAGGTCGTAAATAATTTATATTAAGTTAAAAACACGAGCTTCAACGTAACAGTTCTAAGTCCACTGTTAACAAATATGTCTTACAGTTTTAAAACCCATATGCTAGTGAGAAATTTCCACACCCATATAAACAATGTTTTGTTTCTCTCTCAAATCGATGTGAAATCTCACAATCCACCCCTAAAGGTCAGTGTCCTGGTACATCACTTAGTATCTGAGTCTGATACCATTTGTAATAACCCAAGTCACCATTAACAAATATTGTTTGTTTTAGCCCGTTATATATCGCCATCAACCTCGCGATTCTAAAACGCATTTACCAGGAAGAGGTTTTTATGTTGTTATAAGAAATGTTTCGTTTCACTCTCCAACCAATATGAGATTTCACATACAAAAACTCGCATTTTACTATTGAGCTAGAAAGTAATTTTGAATTCAATATCTAAACATGTCACTCTCGATCAATCTCAAAATACCCGACAGAGATAAAGTTCGTGTATTTTACTTTGAATTTAATTATTAATTCATATATTAAAGTGAAGCGAGCGTGGAATATTGAACAGGTACACACATCTATGATCTTGGTACGTACACCCAACAAGAAGTGAAGCAGGAAGCAAGAGAAGGGTGACCCCTACACCAAAAGAAAGGTTTGGTTGAGAGTTGAAGAAGGAAGCAAAGGCCGGGCGGGAAAAGGAGTAGAGGAGAGGGGCACAAAGTCAAGGATAGAAAACAAGACATTGGATAAAAAGTGGTTATAATTTGATTATTGGAGACTCACACACGGGACATAAAAAACAGACAACTCAGGGTTCCACATGGGGTTGCACTGCTTTTACACGTGTCAGATCCCCCGCAAAATTGTACTATGTTGGACCACCAAAACCAAACAAATTCATCCCTCTCTCTGTCTTAACTTTATCCACAGTCCACGTCATTCCACAGCCGCAATCCCCCTTTGTAAAAATATTTTTTTAATAAATATATTTTAAAATATAAAAAAAAAATAATATTTACTAGCGGTTGATTCAGATGTTCGATCGAAAATGTATTAGAATTTTTTTATTTGGGTAAAAGGGAGTGAATTGAATCAGGACATTGCAGAAAAGAAGGGATATAAATACGTACTTATTTGGAGTTATTTTATGTGTCGGTTTCAAAAGACCAAAAGAGAGAGCTTTTGTTTAGTGTTTTTAGTTCCTTTGTCCAATTTGGGGTCTTTTTTTTATGCTGAATTTTACAGCCTGTTTTCAAAGAAATGGAAATCCTTTTCCCACTAGATTCAATGAATGACACGTGGACCCTTTTTTTAAACTCAACTCACAATGCTCATTCAAATCGTACTCGTTCTAACCCTATCCAGAATAGAATCATTCAAATTTAGGTTGCCAAATACCATAAGAAAAATCTCTGCTCGTTTGGATATAGGGATAGGATATCCCTTATCCCTTTTCCTTATTCTACCCAGGATATAAAACGTGGGTTTCCCAAACAACCCCTCTTCCCTTCCCTTTGTGGGTTAATTGTAAACGAAGTAATAAGCTCCTTCTTGGAATTTGCAAATATTAAGATTTGGATAAGGATGAAGTCTACAGTAGGATTACGGCACTGTGACAGAAATTAAAAAATATATATATAATTATTAATTAATTAGGTTGCTTAAACTTGGGTTAAAAATAATGTAACGATAATGATGAAGAAATAGAATTAGAAAAGGAGACGCGCATGAGCATGGGACGTGATTCGATTCCTTTGTCTGGTTATATTTTTTAAATAAATAAATAATTAATTTAATATTTATATATTTTTGCAAGTGATTAATTAAGAATTGAGGATTTCCAGGTAATAGGTGTCATGTTTATCCCGACATAGCCAACCCATGTTTCCTCATCTTCCAACTTCGCCTTCATATGCTAATTAATCATTTTTATTACTTAAATAATATGTAATTAGTTAGATAAATACAACAATAATTAATTATTTTCTTGGGTTAGTTCTGCCCTATCACATGGGGCCAAGTTCCCATAAATTAAAGGACTAAATTGTAAAATTTTTAAATTATATGGATTAATTTAAAATTTAATTAAAATATATACGTAAATAGTTGAAGGCTGGCGAAGGGGACCCCCACACTTGGAAGGCCGGTATTATGGTTTGTACCCTACTGGGTGTCCTTCAATGTGGTAATATGCCAAATATCACCATTGTTACACTATTTTTTTTTTAATTATAATAATAAAATTTAAAATATATATATATATATATATATATATATACGCATTTTAAAA